GGGAGGTGCTAAAGAGAATTTTGAGACAGTATGAGGAGGAATCAGGGCAGCAAGTCAGTCTCCCAAAATCTGAACTTTCCTTCAGTGGGAATGTTAAACAGGAGGAGAGAGCAGCCATGGGAGACATTTTGGGAATGAAACAAGTGCAACAACACGACAAGTACCTAGGCCTTCCCACGGTGATAGGAAGATCAAAAAAGGCCGTGTTTACTCAGCTGATTGATCGGGTACGAAAGAAGATAAAGATGTGGAAGAGTAAACTGCTTTCCAATGCAGCCAAAGAGGTTCTAATAAAAGCCATTGCACAGGCACAAAGTACCTATGCCATGTCGGTCTTTCTGATTCCTCAAGGGGTGATACAAGAGCTGCAGAAGATGATAGCAGGTTTCTGGTGGGGGCAAAAGAATGAGGAAAGGCGGATACATTGGATGAGTTGGGAAAGGCTATGTCAGCCGAAGAGTGAGGGGGGTATGGGGTTCAGAGACCTCCATGGTTTTAATCTGGCTCTCCTTGGTCGACAAATTTGGAACATCATCAAGCATCCTGGATCCCTAGTGGCAAGAGTCTTAAAAGCTAGGTACTATCCCTACTGTGATATCATGGAAGCGGATTTGGGAAGGAACCCGAGCTACATCTGGCGGAGCATCATGGCTGCCAAGCCCTTGATGAAAGAAGGAGTAAGATGGCGGGTGGGTAATGGGGAACAGGTAAGGGTGTGGTGGGATAAATGGATTCCGAACAGCCCGAACTTTCGAGTAGAATCTCCGGTGACCGGTCTTGGTTTACAAGCTAAAGTGGCCGAGCTTATTGATCAGAATACGAGGAGTTGGAGGAGTAATGTTCTCCAGGCAAATTTCAACCCCCAGGACAGAAGAAGAATCCAACAAATACCAATCCCAAGAATGCAGTCACCAGACGTGCGTGTTTGGGGATGGGATAAGCTTGGCAATTACTCGGTAAAATCAGGATACCAGGTCTGGAGGAAGAAGAAGATTGAGGGTATGGGGTAACGATACATTCCAGTGGATTGGAAGAGACTTTGGCACCTACAGATTCCACCTAAAGTCCGGATCTTCCTATGGAAATGGGGAAGCAATATTCTACCTACAGGAGTCAATCTATCGAGACGAATTAGAGAGGCCTGCGACGAATGCCCTTTTTGTGGGCTGCGCGAAACCCAGGAACACATTCTAAGGGATTGCGATTGGGCAGGGAGGATTTGGCGACCAAGTGCGTTGGGGAATCTATTCTCAGAAGGTGTTGAGAAAACTAGTGAGGAATGGCTGTGTGATCTGATTGGTAAAGTTACAGATGATGAATTATGCTCGTTGGTAATGGCTCTATGGTTCTTATGGAAGGAGCGAAACAACCACTTATTTAACAACCCAAAAATGGAGGAAAGTGAAATTATCACCAGGGCGGCAGCTTACCTCGAGGAATTTAGGTCGGGTGTGGCGACGGAAGGGCCGGTGAGAACCACTCGAGGAAGGGTGAGGTGGGAAAAGCCTGAGAGGAACCTTCTGAAAGCGAACGTCGATGCGGCAAAGCTAAGAGAGGGAGGGACTGGATTGGGACTGGTGGTCAGAGATGATGAGGGTCGACTGGTGCTGGCGGCGGTGCGAAGGACACGAATCGACTGGGAGCCTGAGATGGCGGAAGCTCAAGCATTCCTCTGGGCTCTCGACCTGCTGCAAATTCACTGTGCACGGCCAACCCTAATTGAGTCGGATTGCAAAACTCTAATTCAGAAGCTGGATCGACAAGGGAACATCGAGACCGAGTTAGGGGTTATAGTGAAGGAGATTAGAGAGAGATGTTTAGAGCGAGGAAATGTTTGGTGGCGCTTTTGGGGAAGAGAAGGAAATGTTGCGGCTCATGAGATGGCAAGGGCGAATTGCAGATGGGAGGAAACTGAGCTATGGAAGGGGAGACCCCCAATTTTCATTCTCAACTTTCTAGAAAGGGACTGTAATGGTACTTTACCAGTTTGATTATTAATATTCAGATTTATTTTCAAAAAAAAAAAATATCAAGTGCAGCTTCGACGATTTTTGTGACGAATTACTTGTTTTTCTCGTGACAATTTTGAGAGATTTTTAATGACCATTTACAAAATTGGTTTCAAAATAGTTAATTCCGTGATTAATACCTCTTTTCGTCACAAAAAATTATCATATATAGACTACTTATATAGTCACCAAAAATCACATTTTCCGACGATTTGCTCTAGACTGGGTATCTATATGGACTAGACAACATTTAGCTTCAGCAACGGTAATTAGTACTCGGGCTTGTGTCATTGTGTGGGCTGGACCGCACTAGGGTCAGGCCCGACCCGCTCTGAGTGACTGATGCGCAGTTCAGTTGCTTAACCAGTTAGTTCTTGTTCGGTTGCGGTTAAACTGCAAACTAACTGCAGAGAACAAACAATTGTACCCATAACCGCGACCGAACAAGAGCAGGTTTGCATGATTTCGTGTGTGGTTTCGGTTTAACTGAAAAATCGTTTGCGATTCCCACCCCCTAACCAATAAGCAATATCAAAGTTTACATATTGTGACACTATTAATTGATTTGGCGCATGCATGCAGTAATGGTAATGGTAATACTTCTTCTTGGGTCCGCGACGACTGCACTTATTTGTGCAACGACTTTAGCTGCCAGAGGGATTACCCAGATCTGTGTGGTGGTGAAGATCCCAATCAGTGCTTTGTTGGTTGCCGCTGCGACACACGTGTGTGCACTTGCTTGTGTTGGACTTGATCGATTTTTTTCCGGCGGGCCGACGTGCGCGCACCCCAATAATCGCCGGCCGGCCGATCTATCTGTTTCATTGCATGTCCTGTTGTAATTCCCGGGTAATTTTCTGAAATATATGTAATTGATGGGCAAATAATATCAACGGTTTCGGTTTGGTGTCCACCCGCCGTGGTCGTGGTAGGCGCATTTGTGAACAATGTGAATCAAGTATTTTGTCCTCTGTATGCAATTTTGTAGTATTACAACCCGCCAAGGGTTTGGAAAAATGACGCAATCTTGTAAAATTTAATACTCTTATTAAATATAAATTAAGAATTAAAATATTAATTACATGTTATTTTAAAATCTAAACCTACACAAAATACAATTCTCTCTCCTATCGTTGATCCTTCCTTTTCCAGCGGCCTCCGACCACCAGCCTTACTCCAATCGCCACACTACTCCGGTGAAAATCCTGCCGGCAGACTCCCTTTCGGGCACCTGCAAAAACGATGGCTACATTAAAAAGTTATAACACTGCACTGATACGGATCTGAGTTTAAATTGCAGTGGTACAGATATCAATGCAGTGGTACAAAAATCAGAATTGGGAATCGAAAAAGTCAGATCTGGAAATTGAAAAACTCACCGAGAGAGGAGTGTGGGGGTGGAGAGCGCGGCACAACGACGGGGGATGGTGACAGCGATGTCGGAGGATGGTGACGGTAGGACGGCGGCGATTGGAGAGAGGGGGTGGTGGTGGTGGTTGAAGGCGGTGAAGGAGGACGGCGGCGGCAGAATGAGAGAAAGGAGAGGAGAGCAATGCAGTCAAAAGCGCGATTCTACCTAGAAGCGAAAAAGGGGTAAAATCGTAAAACGTAGAATCAAAGCGTAAAAGCGTAAGTTTTTGACGCATACTGAAAAATAACTAAAAATCTATTAAGTAGGACATATGCTATGCAAAATATGAATGCACAGAATTTAGATAAGTTAATAAATACATGTGATTCATGTTTAAAGTAGAGCAACTTATAGCATCTTAATAATAATTTCGTAAACATAAATTTTAACGATAAGCCACTTTTCCCTCTATGCTAATGAATTTGGGAAAACCCTAGTTGGTGAATTAGATTACTCTATTGAAGTAGAATGCATCCAAGTACCTAGTATGTATCTTTTAATCTCAAATGTATCATATTGTTAGTGATTTACTTTAAAAATATACTTTTTATAATTAATTTCATGAAAAGAATACTCATGTAGCGAACTAAAAGCGTAAAAACGTAAAGCGTTTTGGTGAACTAGAACCATAAAACCGTAAGTTTTTAAGTTTTAAAGCGCAAGTTAGTCCGATTTTATACACTTAAGTTTTTATATGGAAACGAAAGCGTTTTGGTGACCCAAAAGCGTAAAATCGTAAGTTTTTAAGTTTTAAAGCGCGATTTTGACTGCATTGGAGGAGAGAGAGATGGCTAGGGTTAGAGAGGATGATTTTTGTATTAATAAAGAGATTTTTCATGAATAGAAAGTATCATTTATTTATTATGTGAATACTATGCATTTATTATGTCTACTTTTATTAATACTTTTTTTGGATATGGGTAATATATAGATCTCATTTTTGTGATTAATGTACTACTTAAGAGATTCGGACATGAGACCTCCAAGTTGTATGCTACTTTTATTAATACTTGCCAAATCAGGGGCGGAGCTACGTCTTGGCTCGGGGTGGCCCCGGCCCCCCGAGAATTTTGAAAGTTACGTGTAAACCCGACGAGCATCCTGATTTTTTCGTATTAACTATGGGTAAATTAGTATAGTTGTAGTGTGCATTTTAGTAACAAGAAAATCAGTGTAGTCTAGCAAATGGGAAATGCTTAAATAGCTCACAGGTCAGGGGTTCGAAACATCAGAATGTTGGTCTTCGTTTATTTTTTCAACTTTTAGAGTTTTATCTAAAAAATGACTTAACAAGTATTCATTCCATAACATAACTCCTTTAGTTTCAAATTAGATGAGCTAATAGCTTATATATCCAAAAGGCATGCAAAGAAAACATGGAAAACGACCGGCCAAAAAGTCAGTAACAGAAAAATTCAAAAATTAACTTTTAGCTGCGGGTAGCACCGTAGGCCCACGTTTGGACTCACCGACTCGGAGGGGACGAGTTGCGAGTCAAACCCGGAACGTAACTCGCCGTTGCTTTTTTCCTTTGTTTTTTAAAAAGTAGCGACTAGAGAGAGATGGCGTTGTTCTATTTTCCCCCTTTTCTATTTTTTCTCTCTCTCCCTATTAGGGCTCCACTTTTCTGCTTGCATCCTTCTGCCCGTCAATCTGCACACTCTCAGACCAGTGAAACCTCCAATCCTGGTCTTCGATGGTAGTCGCGTCACCTTGAGCAGGTATTTTTTTGCTTTGTCTGCACAAAGGATAGGGCTACGCATCCAATCCGTGCGTGTCTCCGCAATTGGGTGGGGCTTGTTCATCCAGAATTTTTAGAATCTAGGGATGCGCGATTTCGTTGTACAGAACCAGCAACTTACCTTCGATTCTGTTTATCTCGCTCCTCCTCGATCGGATTAGACTATTCGAGGTATTTTCTGGTGTTTGCTCGTATTCATTGGATTCTTAGGGATCCGCATGAGGGTCAGATCTTTTGTACCGATGCCATCGTTTGCTGGCACTAGAAATTCCTGGCTCTCATCTGTCTAGGCTTAGTTCACTTCATTGTGGTTCAGTTTTGTCCAATGGAGTCCACTGAGGTCAAAAAGAGGAGTCGAGGAAGACCGAGGAAACGAAGGCGCGAGGAAGAAAGTGAGAAGAATGATAAGAAAACTGGTGGTGCGTTGAAGAAGCGGGCTTCTGACATATGGTGTAAGCCACTGCTGGGTAGGTTTGTGCTGAAAGAGTTTGAGGGCAATGGGCTTTTCTTGGGGAAGATTGTGCATTATGATACGGGATTGTATAGAGTTGAGTACGAGGATGGGGATTGCGAAGACCTGGACAGTAGTGAACTTCGTAGCATCATTTTAGGCGACAATGACTTTGATGATGCACTAGTTGCGAGGAGAGAGAGACTAGATGAAATTCTGATCAAGAAGCATGAGGCTCGGAAGGAGTTGGAGAAGCAAATTGCAGATTCCAAGGATCAAGTCGCCGTGATTGAAGCACCTCCATTGTGCGAGATGAATGGTAAGTTGGAAGCTGGGAATGATGTTGAACTGGAAAACGATGCAGATTCCTCTAGTGACTCATGTGACTATGCACAGGAAGGGGATCTGGGTCTCGAGGAAGAGGTCCCTGTTCTCCCCCCTCCGGAACTGCCACCTTCTTCAGGAAATCTAGGTGTGCCAGAGGAGTATGTTTCACATCTGTTTTCAGTCTATGCATTCTTGAGATCATTCAATATCCAGCTTTTCTTGAGCCCATTTTCGCTGGACGATCTGGTGGGGGCAATTAACTGCCGTGTGCAGAACACATTGTTGGATTCCATTCATGTTGCTCTGATGCGTGTGATAAGACGCCGTATGGAGATGCTTGCTACTGAGGGTTTGGAGCTTGCTTCAAAATGCTTGATGTAAGTATTGAGATTGTATATTTAAGTTCTCATTGGTATTCGCAATTGCGAAGATTTTTTTATGGTTACTGCTGCTTCTATTATGGGAAATTGGGAAACTATAATGTAAGCTGGAAAGTAGCCACTGTCGAAATAGCCGAGATTTCTTTGTTGGACAACCGGTCATGCTCTTTTTTTTTCTGAAAGAGATCTGTTGCAAAGCTTTTGTATATTATTGTAAACTTCCTTAGCTGCTTAGGACTTTCGTTAGTTAAGACTAACACCTCTTTTTGGATTATCTGCAGGAGTATAGACTGGAACTTGCTTGATTTATTCACATGGCCTGTTTTTCTAGTCAATTACTTAACAGTAATGGGATATGCAAAGGGCTCTGAATGGCAAGGATTTCATGACGATCTTTTGAAAAAGGAGTATTATTTATTAACTGCTGGTAAGAAATTGATGACCTTACAAGTCCTGTGTGATGATGTATTGGACTCTGTGGAGGTAAGAGCAGAAATTGATAGTCGTGAAGAAGCAGAATTTGGAATAGATCCCGATTCGGTTGCAAATGGTTTCCTGGAAAGTGGACCGAGAAGAGTGCACCCTAGATTTTCAAAGACTTCAGCTTGCAAGGACACAGGGGTCACAGGAAGCATCTCAGAAAGCCATGGAATTAAGTCCTCCCAGGGTTCAACATGTGTGGGTTTGCGCTCTCATGAAAATAATTCAAATGCTCCGATTTCTAACTCAGATTGGAATAGCGACGACTGCAGATTGTGTGGCATGGATGGAACCTTGCTGTGCTGTGATGGTTGCCCAGCAGCATACCATTCAAGATGTATAGGTGTTGGTAAAATGTATATACCAGATGGGCCATGGTACTGTCCAGAGTGTATCATTAATCGAATGAGCCCTTCAGTAACTGTGGGAACGTCGCTAAAAGGAGCAGAAGTTTTTGGCATTGACTTATACCAGCAGGTCTTTGTGGCCACTTGCGATCATTTGTTGGTGTATGTTTTACCATTCTCTCTGTGTGGTTAAAGTTAGTTTACTGAACTAAATGAATCATAATATTACGGCCCCCAATTCAAATCCCCTTCAGTTCAATATTCGCTTTATTTTTGAATCTCTCATATCTTGCTACTTATTCATTCGTATTTGAATTGATTTCAGGCTCAGAGCTTTGGCCGACAAAGAACATTGTTTTAGATATTATGGTCAGAAAGACATCCCAAACGTCCTGCGAGCTCTTTGTGCATCTGAGAAACATAGATTGATGTACTTGGAGATATCCAAGTTGATTGCAAAATACTGGAATATTCCTCAAATTGCTTTCTGCCCTGCTCAGGTGGTAGAGAAGGATTTAGAGCCTGCTTTGGTGAAGGAAGAGTTGAATATTCCAAGTGCGTCGGCTCCTGCATGGGAGATTAGTCAGAGAGTTCCTGATGTTATTAAGGCTGAAAATCAAACTAGTTCAAATGGAAAGATTTCGGTCTCATGTGTTGACACCTTGGGAGAGATAACCACTCCGGCTGAAATGCATTGCAGTTTGAGCAGTATTAACACCACAAGAACTTCAGACTTGGATTGGGCAAGCACTAAGCTTCCCGGTCAGTTTAAAGTGGATGGTACCATGTCAAGTACGCAAGCTGATCCATCAGGTGTGACACACACTACATGTAACTCGGCAAATAGTGACAGTAGCCATGTTGGGCGAGCGAGCGGTACTTCTTTACCTACAATTATATCTTTCGGAGGAAAGGATGCCAATCTTATTAACTCTGGAACGGTGGGCAGATATGTGGGTGAAAATGTTCAATATGTGGGGGCTTCTTTTAAACCTAAAGCCTACATAAATCATTACGCTCATGGTGATTTTGCGGCTTTGGCAGCTGCTACTCTGGCTGCTCTTTCCCCTGAGGAAACACGGGCTTCAGATGTACATAAGTCAAGTGGCACCAAGAAAGCAAGTGCTGATATTCTATTGCAGGCAAAGGCGTTTTCCAAAGTAGCCTCACGCTTCTTCTGGCCATCTTCTGAAAAGAAGCTTATGGAGGTTCCAAGGGAGAGGTGTGGTTGGTGTCATTCCTGTAAGCTTACCACTAATAGCAAAAGAGGATGCATGTTAAATTCAGCTGGCTTGATTCTGACTAAGAGCGCCATGAAGATCATTAATAGCTTGCGCCCAACAATTATGGGGGACGGAAGTCTTCCTTCTATCTCAACCTATATCATGTACGTAGGGGATGCTTTATCTGGGCTTACAATCGGACCTTTCCTAAGTGCAAGTTATAAAAAGCAGTGGCTTAAGCGAGTTGAAGTTGCTTCAACGTGCAGTGCAATAAAAGGTCCGCTGTTAGAGGTAAACATAATTTCCCACTTTTCTGAATCATTAAAATGCAGAACTATTTTGCTTCGTTTTAATTCAATGCACTTATCTACGTTTGGTTAATTAAGTAATAAAACTCTTGCTGCTTGTGGCTTGTTGTCTTAATTGTAGCTTGAGGAGAATATTCGTCGTATTGCTCTGTCAGGGGACTGGGTAAAGGCTGTGGATAATTGGGTGGTTGGCACTTTTATTTCTGAAAGTGCTGCAACTGAAAATCGCAGTGTCCAGAGACGTGGACCAGCGGGGAAGCGTCACAAGAAACAATCTGCATTGTCAGACAGGAAAGTTGACGGTTATGACGATAAGAGTTTTGTCTGGTGGCGAGGTGGAAATCTCTTAAAGCATGTGTTCCATAATGCAATTTTGCCTGGGTCTATGATGAAAAAGGTTGCCCGTCAAGGTAATGTGCCTTGCATTGTCTGCTAGGGCATTAGTCTCATGCTCTCTCTGTGGCGAAATCATCTCACCCTCTAAAAAATTGATGATACAGACTTTTAGTTATCAGAATTCAAAAAGTAACGCAACCTAATTAATTCTTTTGGTTACTAGGTGGTTCAGGAAAATTTTCGAGCATCTGTTACACTGATGATTCTGAAATCCCCAGAAGAAGCAGACAACTTGCTTGGAGAGCTGCTGTTGAGGAGTGTAAGAACTCATCCCAATTGGCACTTCAGGTATGTAAAGATTCATTTTATGTACTGCTGTTATAGCTTTCTCTAGTTACTATTTTTTTTTTTTGTTGGTTCAAGGCTGACTTTGTGAATTTGAATTTGCATTAGGTAAGGTATCTAGATTTGCATGTAAGATGGAATGACCTTTCCCGGCCTGAGTTGAATATTCAGGATAGTAAAGGTCCAGAGACAGAAGCTTCTGTTTTCAGGAATGCAGTTATATGCGATAAGCAAGCTGAAGAAAAAAAGATCACCTATGGAGTTGCTTTTGGGAATCAGAAGCATCTGCCTTCTAGGATCATGAAGAATGTGATCCGTGTAGAAAAAAATGAAGATGGTAATGACAAGTACTGGTTTTCTGAAGCAAATGTACCATTGTATCTGATCAAAGAGTATGAAGGGAAGAGACAAGAAGCTGCTTTACTGCCAGTTAAAAAGCCAAACAGTGCACTGTCTGAGTTGCAAAGACAACAACTGAAAGCTTCTCGTAGGGATATATTTTCATATCTTGTGTGTCGGAGAGATGGCGTAGAAAAGTGTTCATGTGCTTCGTGTCAACTCGATGTTCCTCTAAGGTAATGATTAGCTCTTGAATGCTTCCTCAATATAGCACTTGAAAGTTAAATTCCTTGTTCGTAAGCTCAGGATTTTATTGTTTTGCCATCTACAGGGATACAGTTATCTGCAGTGCTTGCCACGGTATGCTTGTCTCTAAGCTTCGCTGTTTATCATTTTCCTTGAAATATGTTTGGCATGCTAGATGCAATAATATGAAATTCAGAATTCCATTGTGATATGTTGGGGGGGGGGGGGGGGGGGGGATTGTATGAGCACCATAGGCTGAACCTCTGTTTATTAAGTTAATGTCAAATGTTGCAGAGTCTAGCTATTTAGTTCATCGAGTTTCCTGCTAAACAAGGAGCAAACATTTTGATGAATCTGTAGGGAGGTTGCAGTGTCGTTTTTATAGTTGCTGCTTGTTTTGTGAAAGAACAAGACAATTGAGTCAGCTTGTTCTATTATGAATCACCGACCTTGTTTTGTTTCCTTCTCTTGTATTCCCTTTGATAAAGAGTTATGGATGCTATAATTTGGTTAATAAACTGTGAGATAACATTTTAATCTAATCTCTTGTTTCCCTGGAAAGATATGCGTCCTGGTTTTTGTATTGTTGGTGCAATTGTTTCATAAATTTCATGTGTGCTGTGATCAGGTTACTGTCATAAGGACTGTACTCTACGTTCAACAACTTGCAAAAATAACGTGCTTGAGCTCTTGCTCATCTGCAAGCGGTGTTGTAATGCGAGAACTCCCTACATCCAGCTCAGCAATAAGTCTCCAACCACTCCCCTCCCTTCCAGAGGTCCGGAATATAATAACTCATCGATGTTCAGCCAGGTCACAAAACTCAATATCAAGATGAGCCAGGTCACAAAACCCAACATCCAAAGCCAGCACTTGGCGGCTGGTAAAACAAAGGAGATTATAAATTGTCGAATGAATGCAGATGCTGGAGTCAAAATAAAGGTGCCAGATGCAGCAGCTGTTAAAAATGCCAAGGATGCTGTTCCTCCCAAGACGCAACAAAAAGCTAATTCTGCTTCAAAAGCAAGTAAAAATTACAGTTGGGGTATCATATGGATGAAGAACGGAGATGACACAGGTGTTGCTTTTAGGCGTAACAAAGTTCTTGTGAAGGGCCATAGAGATGGTAGCAGTTTGAGCCCTGAATGCGTGTTGTGCAGAAAAATATATGACCCTAATCTCATGTATATTTCCTGTGAAACTTGCGGCAGTAAGGCTACTTCTCTCTCCCTTTTAAATTCTTGGGGGCATTCTTATTGAGGTTCTGGTCTATAAATTGTGCATGTGTTTGTCCTTTGTGTTTTTCAGAATGGCTTCATGCCGATGCTGTTGAACTGGAGGAGTCAAAACTTCATGAAGTTGTCGGTTTCAAGTGTTGTAGATGCCGCCGAATAAAAAATCCACAGTGCCCTTACAAGGATGAATATCCGTCCACTGTGGTTGCTCAGGTCAGCAAAAAGAAGTATCACAAGAAACTTGCGAAACAAGTAGACCCAGCAGTGGACTCCGACACGAATTATTCCTCTCCTGCAACTCCAATCTTTTTTCCTACCCAGCAGCAACTGGTGCTACCAAATAACGATCCTCTTCTCCCAAATCTGTCGCAAGTGGAGCAAATTACTCCGGAGCAGAAGCCTGGACTGGTGGATGGTGAATGGAGTGCCACTCTACTGGGCCCACAAAAGCTCCAGGTGAGAAGGCAAACAAAGCAGTATCACGACGGGGAATCTACTTCCTCTGGTACTGATTTTCAACCAGAAACAAATGGTTTCCTCGTGCATAATCATCCTACAGAGACGTATGTCCCTGGCATGGACTGGGATGATTTGGGGAGTGGTGGCGGTGCCTGTGGTGGTGGTGGTGAAGGGGAGTTGATATTGAACGATGATGAAGGTGGTTTTAACTTCGAGGACATGGAGTTTGAGCCCCAAACCTATTTCTCTTTCACCGAGTTACTAGAACAGGACGAGGCTGCTGCTGCTGCTGATGTCGATGTAGGTCATCATCAGGCTGCTGCTGAGGTTGATGTTGGTCATCATCAGGCTGCTGCTGAAGTTGATGTAGGTCATCATCAGGCTGCTGCTGCTGCTGCTGCTGCTGCTTACCCCTGGGATGATACAGATCCCGCAATGGAGTATGAAAATCCTTGTTTTAGTACAACTATTCCTCCATGCCAGTTCTGTTCACTGGCAGAGCCCGTCTCGGATCTATCTTGTGAGATCTGTGGCACGACGATGCACAGTAGTTGCGCGTTTGTGGCTGAGCTTCCGCCTGATGAAGAAGGTAAGTGGAGGTGTGGGAATTGCCGAGAATGGCGATAGGGCCACGGCACAGTGTTCTTACGAGGGTTTGTTTTCCTTAAATCATATTTTTCTCTCTCGCGGATGGTGGGTGTATATAGCGGGCGGGGGGAGATAACAGAATCTACCAGAGATGAAATTGGGATCTACCTTCCAATCAAATTTTTTACTTTCTTTGAAATTTTTTGGAAAGGCTGGAGGTGGAGGGTTGTCGGAGACGGGGGGAAGAGTCTTTAGTGGTGGCTCTAATGGTGGAAGGTTGCTCTTTGTTGCAAGATAAGCAGCCGTGTACTTTTTCCTTTTGGCATTGTTGTGCTTATCTGACTGAAGTGATAAAATACATATATGTTAATTTCAAGCAGCGAAAGAGGGTTAGTCTAGTACAGATCCCATATCCGATTCCACTATTGCTGTTGTTTGTAGGATTGTGTAATGGTACGGATCAAATTTACAAGAATCGCGGTTTAATAGTGAGATATTTTATGATCAAGTATCAGACCAATATTGCTTGCATTTAATTAATTAGATATGATGCGATTTAATACGAACCAAATCCTTACACACCCTAAATTCTTTGTCGTAGATTGTTGCATTCACTGTTCGCTCTTTTTGCTATGACCCGGGTCTCCTTTGATCTACTCAGGTATATGTGCATGTGTCATGTGTTTGACCGTAGACGATCGCCGCCGCACTCTCTACTCGTAGCAAACTGGCAAGCCAAAAGCCGCCACACTACGTGACGAGAGGATAAACAAGCAAATTAAAGGGTAAATGGACGCTAAATTAGCCTCCTTGTTCTACTAAATCCAACAAATTATGTTTGTTGACCACTCTACCGCCAGTTTTCATTAGCTATGACACAAACCTTATCCTTATGCATGACATCTCAATGGGAGGTATGGTTTGGATGTTGGATTTAGAGGGGTGCGATTTGCTAATTGCTATCCATCTTCAAATGTAGGCGGGTTTTAGAGACACTACTATATTTTTGGATCCCATAAATTTAGAATATTCACACCTTAAGGCATAATTTGGCAAATCTTTCATGTTTTTTTTATTATATGATTTGGTCAGCGTCATTGAAATCCAACAATAAAATTTATGACCAGAACACGACATCCGAACCACATATTTTTACATCCATAATTAACCAAATTCATCATCAATCCTTCAATTATCAAATTAAGGATTAGACACTATCTCTGGATTTCAAGTACAACATCCAACGACCCCTTGGTGGCTATGGTTACAAGGTTGACGAAGTCGTTGATGTGATGATTTGATTAAATGTTTAAACAACGGAAAGTAGGAAATGTAGAGGAAGTGAGTTATTATTAATTTAGGATGACATTCATTGGGAATTTTATTTAGGATGACAGACAAAATATTGATGGACCAAATGGAACTAAAACTAAATTAAGGAACAAAATGGAACGAAGTCTATAGCTAAGTGACTTGAAATACTATTATCCAATTTAGAAAATTATATATATACGTATATGTATTTTCGACCACCAGTCCAGACATCGCCTCGGTCAAAAAAGAAACAACAAAAAAAAGAAAAACACGTCAGATATTGAAATACAATCTTGGCCGTCCAGAATTTTTCTTGACCTCCAAGGGAAGAACGTACTTGGATTTGGAAACTTCTGTCACCTTCTCAATTCTTTCTTCCTCTCCCATAAAACCGGAGTCACACAAAAAGCCCAATCCTCCCTGAGAAGTCATACCATTCGTCTCTGTTACCTCTCAGATTCTTTCATTTTCCAGGAACCAGTGACTCGATCGAGATGAATCAGTTCGTTGCCAGGTCGTCGGCGCTCCGCGGCCTGCTGGTCAATGAAGCAAGACGGCACTACGTGTCTCCGGCGCAGTCGTCGGCGAGTGTCCTGATGCGGCTTGTGGAAGTTCCGCCGGCGGGAACGGCGAAGGCGGAGCAAATCAAGAGATTTAACGCGGCGTCGTTTGGCGGTTCTGGTTGGAGCAGGATGATGAGTACTTCTTCTTCTTCTTCTTCCTCTGCTCTGGCTGAGAAGGAGAACGGCGAGAAGGAGAAGCCAGCGGAAGCGGAGAGTAAGTCAGGCGGCGGTGCTGAAAGTACTGTACCGGTGGTTTCGAGCTACTGGGGGATCGCGAGGCCGAAGATCGTCAGAGAAGACGGGACGGAGTGGCCGTGGAACTGCTTCATGGTAAACGGACTTCAATAACTGGAGATTTCGTTTGACTTTCTTGCTTGATACTTGATAGTAGGCCTTGATTGATTGTTTGAACACAGAAACGAACTTCATCAATGGCGATCTGTAGCTTTTGATTGAGATTATTTTGATTTTTGTGTAGCCGTGGGAAACCTATCGTTCCGATACTTCAATTGATCTCAGCAAGCATCACCTCCCGACGACCTTCCTCGACAAAGTGGCTTACAGAACTGTCAAAATCCTCCGGATCCCCACCGACATATTCTTCCAGGTTAGGAAATCCTCTTTTCAACTCTTCCACCATTGTCGAATAGAGAGAATGAGTTTCGATTAGGGGAAATTGTGACCATTAGGATGTAGAGCTTGCGATTCGACTTTCTTGAACCCGAAACTAGCTAGGGTTTGATGTGAAAACGTATATGCAGAGGAGGTATGGCTGCCGTGCAATGATGCTAGAGACAGTGGCAGCAGTCCCTGGAATGGTAGGAGGGATGCTGCTCCACTTACGCTCGCTTCGCAAGTTCCAGCCCAGTGGCGGGTGGATCAAAGCTCTGCTCGAAGAGGCAGAGAACGAGAGGATGCATCTGATGACAATGGTGGAGCTGGTGCAGCCCAAGTGGTATGAGAGGGCCCTGGTTCTAGCTGTGCAAGGGGTGTTCTTCAATGCCTACTTTCTGCTGTACATGATATCTCCCAAACTAGGACATAGAGTCGTGGGTTACTTGGAAGAGGAAGCTATTCACTCATACACCGAGTATCTGAAAGACATCAAGGAAGGGAAGATTGAGAACGTTCCAGCTCCTGCTATTGCCATTGATTACTGGAGGCTGCCCAAAGATGCTACTCTGGAGGATGTTATCGTTGTCATCCGTGCTGATGAGGCTCACCATCGTGATGTCAACCACTTTGCTTCTGTAAGTATTGCTCTGTTCTATCATCTTCGTCCTCTTTCGCTATCCCTTCCTATAGGTACAGCGTTTGTGTTTGATTGAATGGGCTAGGGGTCATTCCTGGCTGACATTGTTGAATCAAGTCGTACACGATTTCATCAATTAGATGCATCTAGTGGTATTATTTTACTGTAATTATGTTAGATCCAACATAATTAGTAAGGACTTATATCTTGTCCCTCACAACAATTTAAAGAATTCTAGGTTGGATTCGTTTTTGAACCTATGCTCTAGGAGGCGTGAATGTTTAATGATGAGCAATAATTGGATTCCACTTTCTAACTAATGCTTTAGTGGTTTGGATGCTTTAATAAGCAAATAATGTTTCAAATTCTAACACCAAGTGGGAATATTGACAATTATTCTACTTAGGAGATTGGATCTCTAACAAATTAGTTATAAAGCCCAACTAGGAGTAGGAGGAAGCTTCATAAGATCTAGTAAACTCATTCATTTTTGTTTTTGTATGAAAAGGAATCTCGAAATTTAAAATTTTTATTTGCCCATTCTTGTTCTGTTGTACTTGTCTTATTGATCAAACTTTTGGGCCAATGCATATTCTTGCAATAAGTTCAGTGCATAAGTTTTCAGCCCATGGTTAATGGTCTAAGCTGATTGCTAATGGTAATTCACCCTGGTGGCTCTTGCAGGATATCCATTACCAGGGAAAGGAATTGAGGGAGGCGCCTGCACCAGTTGGGTATCATTGATGAATGCCATGCAAATATGCAATGCTCCTTTCATGTTTCCATAAGAGGATGGTAGATGAGTTTTACTTAGTATCATCGTATTGATCTGCTTCGAGAAAACCACCGTCTTCGATAATATCCAGCCGATATTGCCATTTGTATAGATAGAAGATCGAAGCTTGCACTGATCTATTACCTTTGCTATCCCTTTCAAACGATACGGAACCATCAATGTATGTCGAATTTTACTCTTAAGTTTTGTGTCCGCGAGTGATTAGCCTGCATTTTCGCATGAGAATGTGCCTGGCCTTTTATTCAGAATTCTCTCGAACATTTTCAGACCTTTGTAGAGAAAGATTGAACATTTTGCGAAAGGTGACGGTGACGCAATTAGAGTGAAGAGAAATTGACGACGTGAAAGAAGAAAGCAGAAAGGTATCAAATACAACACCTTTCTATACGAACTATTCATCGTCTACTCCCCATATGTATAAGCTATCTCACAAAGCTCTAGTAAACCTCTGTACTCTACAATCAATCGCAGCAGCAAAGCTTGCCAAAAAAACAATTTAGAAAATGCAAGAGCAATGAGGGAAAGAGCAAAGATTAAGGCGCCACCACCAACAAACCCTCACTTCACTTCGACCCCAATTGATTGTCAAACCAAGAGCAAAAGGAAACAACAAAGAAAGAGCCAGAAGAAACATAGAAATGAAATGAACACGCAAACTCGGCTCAACTAATGCACGTTTACAAGTTGTGCACAAAGAATCTCAAAATTCCGACTCAAAACCTCCTCTCTTTCTACCTGTACTATTCAACAGACTCAACTACCCTTCCCGATGAATCATCGCAAACCCATGGATTCCAATTTCAGGCCTAATTCCTTCGCCCTTATCCCGCCGCCAGCCCTGGCACTGTGATATTTTAACTCTTCCCATCTGCTTTAACCATCCATAGGATGGTTGAAGAGACCTTCGTGTTAAGCCCGGCTATACAAAGGTGTATATATTCTCAACAAATCCTTCACACGTCATTTGTTGACAGGTGCCTAGTGTCCCTGTGGGGTCACAATAAACCGGCCAACAAGGCCCCAGGATCTTGCGAAGCAGCTGGCGGTGGTGCGGTAATCTGGGCTACTGGAGGAGGTGGTGCTGCAGGTCCCTGTGGGCGTTGGGGTGCTGTGGGGATGCTAACTAACTGCTCCTTGATGAACTCCTTCAACCTGTTCACAAAACAATGGTAATTGATATATTTTGATTTAAGCTTAAAAAAACTTGACCAATGGAGAAGTGAATGGTTTGAAAGTAGTGGATACTAACTCGAATGTGAGTGTTGGGTCACCAGAGGCGACAGTCATTCGCAACTGTGTTCTATCGGCTGGATCTGTTTCAATCCGCACCTGAAACACACGGAAACAAATGGTTATCACAAAGTAGCTCACTACAACGTACTGGATTCTATAAAAAGCTGGCTGCTTACCAAGCAAAGCATGGCTCTTGTGGTTTCTGAGTAAAATGTCGTGCTTGCAACCAAGTTGTTAGGATTAGGATCCTAGACAAGAGAAAGTGGAACACCTGTTAACTCAACTTCAACGAGCAGAAACATGTTGAGTAAATTCATAAATCGGTCAGAAACACAAGGAATCACACTTACAAGTCCAGGACAAACTGTCAACCGGTATGTGTTGAAGAGATTTGCCATCTCGGGTAGAGGTAATGGCCTTACACCTCTAACCTGATCAAACGGCAGGAAAATGTTAGCATCTTTCATTTGCTAGAGGTATCTGTACATGACCTTGGTAGCGTAAATTTCTTTCTACATTCTTGGGAAAATTAAGATTGTTAAACGCTTAAAGCAAGAATGAATCATATACATACAACTTCTTGAAGCTTTAAAGGAGGCCCTGAGAGAGATCTCCATTGAGGGAAAAATTCTTCAGGGGACACTGTTATGGGTTGAAGAAACTTGTTGAGAACAGCGGGTAGGCGAAGCTTGACATTTACCTAGGAAATTTTATGCAAAAACAGATAAGACATTGTTGCAACCTCAGATATATTAGAGCTCTATTTAACTAGGAGATTAGGTGAGCACTATAAAATTTACCATGGTGGGACCAAACTTGTAGGAGAAGTCAAGAACAGCGACATCCCGACTTGGCCGGAGATTCATGACTTCAAGAGGGCATTGTACCTATACCACCATATTAGGAAATTCACAGAGCAACAATGAAATAAATGAAACAGCAAAAAGCAAGTCCCAGTTCTGAATGAGGAACTAAGGTTAGGGTAAAATTAAAGTAAGTTGCTTACCTGCGCTCGGGGAGGAATAGTTTCTGGTACCAATGAGAGCTCCATCTTGAGATGAGTCGGAGGTAATATGAGAGCCTGAACCGATCCAAGAGAAGCGGTGTTTTTGTTCCCCAGGAATAGAACAAGACGCCCTTGATGTGCTCTCCACTCCGCTTTAATGCCTATCTGCAATGGTGATAATAATACTTCCATCAGGACATTTGATGCAGTCAAGCCTTATAGAATATGAAATTGAAACCGACTTCAAATGTAATGCACAAAGCAGGAAAAGGGAACAGAAGGCAAAAGTTCATACCTGGATGTTCGGATCCTCGTACAGAACACCACTATCCTTCAAACACAAAGCATAGAACCTTTCGTTGATATTTCCTATCGGCTGCAAACAAAAAGCACAAAAAATTACTCATAGCAAAATTATTGAGGTCTACGGCAGTCCATCAAAGCAACCAATTCTTCATTCAAATTTAGCACACAATTTGTCCTTAGCTTCATTAAAAGCACGCCCAAGTTATCTTAAAATCCAACACCGTAATATAGTGTCAGCAAAGATTTGAATTTGCCAAGGAATATATGTTCAACCAATTTACATTTTGAAAAAACGTGTTTGGTTCAATTAAATTCACAGTTCTATCTAGAATTCCAATTCCAATTTCAAATGAATATATGTTTAATAAAATGAAGAGTCATAATTAACACCTGCACGGAACCCGACTCTTCTCCAACGGGTACCAGAGCTGCAGCATCAGCTGCACTTGGAGCACCTTCTGCTTCATAGGTTGCACTCTGGGGCGATTGAGCAACAGCTCCTGGAGGACCTTCAATACTCAATGTACCCAAAAGGTCACCAATAATATCCTGTGACGGTGGCTGAGGATCTTCTTTGTATACAACACCATTTGGATGGGTCAATCCTTGGTCTCCAGGATTCTGATCCCATAAAGAAGTATATAAGACATGAGTTCCAAGTGTGGTAACCACCACGTTGATTCACGATTTGAAGGGGGAAAGTAAAAATGTTAAAATCTCTGAATCAAGAAAGGATAATGAACTAACCGAATCAACAGTCTCACTGGGAACTTTTACTAGACTCAGTGGCCCTATGGAGGGTTGGGCTGGCATCCCGTTGGGAGGGCGTTGGTCAGTTACAACCAAGGCTGTCGACATTTGTTGCTGAGCCCTCAACTTGATTGCACTTTGTTCCGCCGTATCAACCTCAGCATCTTCAGCTTTTCTTATCAGTGCAGACTGAATAATACAATAACGAAGTCCATATTACTGATGACAGAATGGGCTTCTATTTTACTATAACTAATGAAATTTGCTGCAAGTAAAGTTCAGAACTATTGAATGACTGCATCTGCTCATATTACCTGCCGTTCAGGAAATTTAGGCATCTCAGCCAATATGTCCATTAGAGATGCACCTTTTCGGCTCAAGGCAAAATACTCAGCTGCTCTTTGCTGAATTTCAACATCGATGCAACTTTCGTATCTGTAAACAGAGACAAAGATAAGAATGTGTTAGACAAAGCTTACGAAGACCAACAATTGAGGGTAAAAAAATTCAAGATAAGGCGTAATCAGAAATCCTACTTGTTGAATATAGTCCAAATCTGGTTTTGTAGTTCTGGTTCTGGTGGCTGAGTGTGCATTAGTATCTTAGCATAAGATGAGAGAAGAATTGGAATAGTGGAGGTTCTGCACAGATACTCATTGAGGTTAACATAGAGGATTTTCAGTCAAATAAAGTCAAAATTCAAATGCTAAGATGACTGATCTTACGAGACAGTAGGATGCTTCTCATGTATGATGGTAAATAATTCCTTTGGACTATATCCAGGTCGTCTGGCCAGAAGGTGCCCATACTCTCCTAGGATATATGCACTGACCTGTAGCAGGAAAAAAACCCACAAGCTTTTGCATAAATCAACAAAACAATTGGGTGTTCTATCTGAAAAGGGGCCACTTCAGTTATACACAAACCTTGACCATCGTCTCATGTATGGCAGGTTTGTTAAGATACTCTCTAGCTTTAGCTGCTGCATAAGACTGGTCAAATGTACGAAATCTCAGTTATCCATTCCAAGAATCAACTTTTGCAACAGGCAAGGGTCATATGGTCTCTGTAGAAACCATACCTGCAGGTCTTCATTATTAGTAACAAACTGTACGACCCGAAACCAAATGTCATCACTGACAAAGTCTCCAGCCTTATCGATCAACTGAAGTATTACATCCACATACCTGCATTTAAGAAGAGTAGGACAACCCCATAAATGGGCATAGGATATGCATATGGACAAATAAACTTAAATGCGGCAAGGAATAAAACAAGGCAAGAGGAAAATGCAAACAATTGTATAGACCGATTTTTTTTTACAATTATATGAATTAGAACCTAGTCTAGAATCTGGTAAACGGTTGAGTCATCATCAATGTCAGCAGGACAGAATCGAATTATTATGTTTGCAATCTCTTCATTCATATCTCCATGAAACAAGGCATAAAAGTAAGGGATTCTAGTCAAGAATTGCACTTCAAGTTCTCTGGATAAACGATTTTTCTTTTCGCTATTTTAGCATTGGAATTCTGGAGTTCTGAATACCGAGTGGATCTCCTTACCAGGATAGATCAGGGGCAAATTTCTCTGCAAGGATAGCAGCTTTTAGAGATAATTCCTCACGCATTGCAAAATCTGCTGAGCTGAGGTACTGACATTCGAATTAAAACAAATCAGAGAGCCAAGTTAACGTATCAAACCATAAAGTCTAGCCATAGCACATTAGAACCTTAAGTAAATAAAATTAATTTTGACCAGTGCAAGTAATGTGTGCCCATTTGATATGCACCTGTAGTAACTCTTCAACTATATCCTTTGCATTTGACACATCACACATGCCATAGAGCAGATCAAGAGCACGACGACGTATGCTGCCGGAAAAAAAAAATTAAGTCAGAAAATGAAAGCTCGGATGATAAATTGAAGATGAAAATATAGCATAAGATATGTGGATTGACTCCCCATATTAAATTGGACATTTTGTGCTCCGCAATATAATATAAACATTTGTTGAGAAGAAATTTATGAATCAAATTGACACTTAAGCATCCACGCCCTACAGTCGGATTTAGACAAGAGAAGCTTTCTGAAACCCACAATACTATATCTCGTTTACCATTCAAAAGTATGTGTTGGCAAACATATACCACACAACCAGAATAATTCTTACACACTATGGGAATATATTGGAGCTTAACCTGATATCTGGATCTTTCAATGAGGTGATAATCTGAGCCTGGTGTCTTTTAATGATATCTTGCACATCTGTCACCATTAACATCCGAGTCATATTCTCCTGAGAAAATGTAACAGTCAATAATTAGGCATGATCGGCAAGTAAACTCACCAGTCAAGTCTCTTATCAAACAAATAATAGTTGGATGTTCAGTCAATTCAATAATATGAAACCGTTAACTAACCAAGCCAAGATATCGAATATTTGGTTCCCGGACAGCAATAAATTTTCCAAGGAGGGCCACACATTGGGACATCATCTCTTTTTCAGCATCAAGATGCATGACCTGAAATAAAATTAAAGAAAGAAATACAAGGTACGTCAAACGTAGAATGTCTGTCATCCGTTCAAAAATGATGTTCCAGAAAGAATACCCTTGGAAGTATCGCATTACAACACATTTTGGGTATACTTACAAGTGCAAGAGCCTCAAAAAGAACAGCATGGGATGCATTGTTCTTATTTACATTTTTCACAACATCGGTTCCCATTAAAATTCGTTGCAAGACCTGAAATAAATAATTTCAAGATTCATCACACTATATATATTTGAGAACACATAAGGGAATCTTGGATGTAGATATGGACCTCGAACAACGATCTTCTGGTGTTAGGATCTTCTACCGTGGGGAAATACTGAAGAGCCCTCATTGTTTTAACCTGTCTATGCAGATCATGTTATTAGCAAAAATTATTAAAGCAGTAGTTTCTGTTCTTTGAACATTATAAAATAGGGTGAAAATAGAAGTCATCTTTGTGACTGGAATCGAAGATCAGTGCAAGGTATTTTCAATGCAGAACTCTAAGAAACATTATAATTAACAGCATACAAGTCTACCAACCACAGGACAAAGGTAGAAAGATTTGAAAAACCCTCCTTGCAAATTTGAGGGGCTCTTGAATTGATCTATTATATTTATCATTTCTGAAATTGTTTCACACTTGCAAACATCAGGCAATTGTTTCATATATTTTACTAATAGCTTGTAAGTCGTTTTTCAACTCGTCTAATAAATCAAATAGCCCCTAGTCAATTGAACTTTTAGTCGTCTGCCTGACTATGTACCAATAAGAAAAGAAGATCAAAGGAAAAGGGACAGACCTGAAGCCAAGGAGATGGGATACCATAGTAAGTGTATTCTTGGGGTATATCCTGGTTCCTAGCAAGTCGTTCCAAAGTCTTTACACATTTTGGCAGACAACTCCAGTATGCTTCATGGTTATTTGATACTAAAGCAACAAGTAGACTCATTGAAGATGTAAGAACACCAAGATCACGTTCATCAAGGAGTTGCGCCATCCGATCAGCCCTGTTGAGATTACAATGGAGTAAATCAAATTTGGAACTGTCCAACAGATCTCTATATAGATAGATCATAGACAATTCAAACCTACCAGCCATCAACATTCACAACGTCAGGATTTTTCCTATACAGCCGTAGCAGACATAAAGCAGCCTTTTTTCTTACAAGAGGTCTGCAGCTGCTTGAAATCTGAAACAAGAGCTATGTCAGAGATCAAATCAACCAGTGTCTTACATCCCTATAAAGGTCACAAGACTGTTCTAATCTCACAAGTAATTTCTGAACATCAGCTGCCAATGATTCAGCAAATTCTCTGCCACCTATATTTCCAACCTGCAGAAGATGAAAGATGATGCAGGTGAGGTTGAATCCAGATCTTAAAAGTATGACAGTGCAAAAGCAAATGGCTGCTATTCAATTAGAGAAAAATTTCAATAAGAATGAGATGCTATGAAATCTAAATTTCAACAAGAATGAAACGCTATGAAAGGTCGTAAGAACTTGAAGTATATCAAATGGAAACCTTGGTGTATTTGAGTAAAAGGAAATAATTATAACAATAAATGAGAATACTAATTGGTGAGAGAAACATGCTTTCAATATGGAAATCAGATGTCAACATATAAAGGAAAGGGATTTTGAAATTTTGATGGAACATTCTCTGTCAGCAAGGGGACATCAGTATAATGCATAACATAGATGGCATTCTGCATTACATTGTACGGGAAGTATATCACATAACAACTATTATGTCCCTTATGGATTAAAAAAAGACACCGGGTTGGAGAACACAAAAAACAAATGGACTGCAAGTTATGAATTATATCATGATGTCTACAAAAGTAAGGCAGTAAGATCATCGTCAACCTACCAGGGTCAATGCAAGGCACTGAAAAGTTTCATTCCGGCCAATAATGTCGTTTCGCACAGTATTTATAGCTAATCTGAGAAAATCATGGTTCTCATTGAGCAAACACGCAGTCACAATGTAGCCAACCTGCGTTAATTTTAGAAAGTTCAAAAATTACGTTCCAAATCTCTAAGCAGCAGAACAAATATTAGCAAAGCTCAAAATGCACCAGTTGAATATGCCACCTGATACGACATGCAACACGCACACTACATGAACTAGAAGGCCTCTACCACATTCAATGATATTTATTCGTAATGTTCCTATCAGACTCGTCGATATGATCTCAACTCTTAGAAGGTCATCAAATGAATCAGAGGTGAGAGGACACACGAAACAGGTACTAAGCCATACAGTATAACTATCCTTGATAATGCAACCATGAAGTACATGGATCAGACAAGTGCCAAAAGGCAATACCTGTTTTTCTGGGTATTTTGGTGCAGATATTAAGGAAACAGCTTCCATGTGACCAAAATCGACATCGTAGCCAAGCATGTAGATATAGAGCATTTTCCAAACATATTTCTTCTTCTCGTATGGACTCAAGCCCTGTAGGAAAATTAAAACAGGAAAAAGAACAATAACATGACACATGATCTCTAATAGAAATTGATTTTTTTTTTTTGGGTCTGATGATAGAGGATGACATAGATATCAAATAGACAATGGAAACTACAGACAAGAGAAAGAGTGTGTTGTGGAAATATTTGCTGAAGAAAAGAAGGAAGGCAGATGGTCAGGCCAGCAGCCACATGAAATTGTTCTTTATGTGGTTACCAGAAACAGGAAACAGGCAGCTACCACCTGAGCTGCACTACAAAGTACAAACCCTATCGATATCCTCAAAGTTCATTGCATTTACTGAAATGTTTTCCCTCATGGTTGCAACTATGAGAACTTCATACAAGATACTGAAGATCATCACTGTGTATTCGTGATGAAGCTAGCATGTAAATCAAAGGTCAGAACCTCCTGCACTTACTTACACCACCATAATGATCCAACATGACTTGGAGTACAGCAGAAACGGTGGCATCCTTCTATGGTCTCATGAGCACCTGAAGCAGATTCCCCATTCACTAGTCCATCTTTGTCACCAATCTCAAAATTGGAATCCCACTTATAGGTCAACACTATTTCAAAGGGACTCAGGGCAAGACAAAGGATCTATCCATGACTAGAATGCCTATCTTAACTCCTAATTCTATGCCACTCAACCATAACCTATGCAGGACACGCTCTAATTTCAGTGGGGAAAACGTTCTCAATTTTTGAACTACTGTGCTCACTTCAGCAGCAGTTCACCTATATAAGTTCAAACTATTCAACATTTCCAGAATTCAAAGCGGAGACGGTCGAATAAATTCTTGGACATCCACAATGAGCAACAAGCAATGGACTCATTTCCATGGTTCCACTTCGCAGAAACCAGAAAATCAAGCTATTACCAAAAAAAATCAGTAGAGTTTCGAAAAAACCCTAACCTTCTCGTTTTTGAAGCGGGTACGGACGTTACCGAGCTCCTTATCTACACGAAGCCGCTCCTGCTCTTTGTTCTGACAATTACGAACGTCACTGATGAAGACGGAGAGACCTCTCATGCCTGAAAGCGCCATTGTTTCCCCCTCTCAGATCCAGTAAGAAGAGAGACCCGGCCCCTTCCTCAGCTTAACCGGAATCACCCCGAACCACAAGTTCCTCCTTCCCTTCCTCTAACAAAGTGTGGAGCCCGAGCTGCGACGGCGAGATCCAACACGACGACGACAAACGAACGAAGCCCCGGCCGGGTAGTTGACTGCAGATCGGAGTCGTTGAAGGAAGATTGTCAGCAGCAGTAGCGTCGAGTCGAGGAGGGAGAAAGAGAGGAATTGCTGCGATCTAGAGAGAGAAAGAAGGATTGAAATGTCGTTTTTGTACAATAAAGAAAGGGGGAAACAGAAGGAAGGAGAGAGAAGGTGTGTGGACAGTGGACTCGGAAATTTTTGGAAAAGCCGTCGGCGCCAGTGGTTGGAGGAGACGACTTATTTTTTCTTCTTCCTTCATCCTTTTACTGGTTTAATCATTAATGTTGTTTTTTTCGTTTTACCGGGTTCATGGCTCTATTTTACTGCTGGTGCCCTATTTCTCCACCTAAAGTAGCAATTAGGATCTTAATTCAAAACTCACAGTTGGCTTTACAAGTACAGTGAAATGCTGTACTTGAGCGACGTTTAATGTTATGTGTTATTCACATTTCGACTTGTTGGTAACATGGCGATAAACAATCGTTATGACGATGAAACAATCGTCAAAATGTGAGCTGAGAGTAGTATGCAGACCTAAAGGAGAACTATGTGGCTCTAATCAGTAAGATAGCCAGCTACAAACAGAGCAAATGCTCATACTTCCAAACCCAACTTTATTGTCTATTCATAAGCCAAACTAACAACTCATCAAATCTTAAATTGTACGTTAACCGAGTGCTGACAAATACTAGGAGAGAGACCAAAGCAGATGCCATGCCAGGCTGGTCACCTACTACACTACAGTTCTCCATTCTGTTCAGCCCATCATAACAGAAAATGTTGACGACAGATTACACCAGTTGCACAACAGCTGGAATGGACTAAAGATCTAAACTGCTCCAAATCTCAAACCTCCAACACTCAGCCAAAAAAACGACTGAGGAGGAGGGGAAGTGGTGTTTTCTTGAAATTACTGAACCCCGCTCCATTTTGCCCAGTCGACAAACTGCATCCCGCCGTAGATGTTGTTGGCGAATCGAACACCAACAGTGAAGGCCTTGGAGAGAGGAGGGACTTGCCTCGCCAGTGGCGATGCTTCGACCACTCGCTCCAGACCGTTAATGATTTGGTACCGTGTGTTGGAAGATACACCGAGAAACACACCTGAGAACATGCAAACGGATGTTAAAGCATTGACTTGAAAGTGAGCAATGTAGATGAAGTGAAGAAGACTAAGAGAGACAAAACGTTACCCCAAAGGACGGCACTTTCGACTAGAGGTGGTATGGGGATGTCCTCTTCCGACTTCTTCACACTCCTATTTATCCAAACACAATCAAATCATTCCCAATATCACGGTCGGAGAAGGCTAATGACCCCTAAGATAACCCAAAGCTTTCTGCTGGTATGAAGCTACACAGGCTAGAAAAGTTGAGAGAGGAAGTAAATAAACCTCTTGGCATTCATGATCATATTTGCAATGCCCTGACCAATTAGTCCGCACCCAAATCCAACTGAACCATACAATAAACCCTGAACCCAAAAACAACAATATGCTCTTATATCAGAAGAATCAAGCCCGAACTTAGTTCCTAAAATCAAGTTCATATGGTAGAATGGTCAGTCCAAACAAATCTAGCAGGATTCAATCATCAATACCTTATAGAAGTAAGTAGCCACTCGCTGCTTCACAGAGAATCTACATCCTGGCCTTTCAGCCTCGAAAACACTGCAGTGAAGTAAGCTTATCGTTAGCAAATCAAGAAATACTCTCAGTTATAACAAGACTTCAGCAGTAAGTGGATATATCAAGAGAAACAAACAGCAGTGAGTAATAACCTGCTGGGAAGAGCAGCACAAGCTTGCTGTATATTGCCGAATAAGCCAGCTTTGTACACGGAAGGCTTCCCGATACGAGCATAAGGGGCTAGCATACCAACTAGAGCAACATCAACAACAATGCCAACCAAAAGATCAGCTGCATACAACTCAAACTCTGACCAGAAATCTTCCCCCCTTTTCTGAACTTCAGCAAATGTTGCACAACATGAATCAATAACTACCTGCATTGCATTTTCCGTCCACCCCAGAATTGGCCCCCCAAAAAGTTCCCAAAATGTCACACCCAGTTATGCAAGTATTCATTCATTCTAAGACCATAAAAGAAAATTCTCCGCCAATGACACAAACCTCTGTCCCAACTTTGAAGAGGAAATCGGGATCAGCCATCATCCGGTTACGCAGCATCGAGCAGTGGTTCATCAAGAACCCTAGCGGCCAGTCGGCTTCCTGCAATTCCAAGTAGCGAAGGAGAAATTTTGCTCGGATTCCGGTGGTCTCCGCAGCTTCCAGCATATCAGCTGGAAGCTTCGCTCCACGTGCCTCCGTCTCCCTAATCACGTCCTCGAATTTCATTATCGGCCCAAACTCCTTCTCCTCCCCGTTATCACCTCCTTCATCTCCACCGCCACCTCCACCGCCGCCGGGCAACCCTCCGTTTCCTCCAGAACCATCATCGGCGCCATCACCGTCGTCAATTCGGACAACCTCGTCTTCCAACGAGTTCTCGACCGGATTGACAACTGACTCCGAGTTCAGACACTTGATTCCGCTGCGGAAGCTGGAGGAGGAAGAGTCAGCGGCGGAATGACCGTGCAAGTGGGACGATGAGACTAATAGCTTGATTCTGAGATTGACTGACGGTATACGGCAACAAAAGATCTTAGCTTTGTACGCAACGGCAACGGATTGGTTGTGGGAAATGGCTTCGTCGGAGAGAGACGATGGTCGGAAGCAGCCGGCGGAAGAAGATGCAATCGCCATTAGCGTAGAAAACCTCCGTAAGCGACTTCCCTAAAAGATGATCGGAGAGACGACGAGTTGGATACAGATGCAAAGCCAATAGTTCGGTGGTACTTTGAGAACGCGAGAGAAGACGAAAATCAGCAGAGGAAAGATTTTGAGAGGAAGTAGTTCCGGCGCGCGGAGGTCCTAGGTTTTCGAGTGTGTGGTGCGATCGACTCTACTATGTAAAAACGCACAAATACGTGCCGTTTCAAAAATGAAGAACAGAAAAAATAAATCGTCGCCTGAGAGATTCGAACTCTCGCGGGGAAACCCCATGTACTTAGCAGGCACACGCCTTAACCACTCGGCCAAAGCGACTTCGTTGTTCTTCCGATCATAAACTTTTTTATATTGAATATAAACGTCTCAGCAGAAACTGGGAAAGAACAACGCGAGGAAAATAATGACGATAAAGACATACATATATGGCTTTTCCTTCTAAAAATGTTTACAAAATGCGTGTAGTGTGAACTGTGGTAGCTCCATTCTAAATCTAATGTTATTTTCCATCATCCATGGCTCTAACAATACAGATTTAGGTTGGAGCATATTGCGTTCTAACATGAAATCTTCTTGTAAAATTTTCAGCGACTCCTTGGACTTGGATAGTCCACCAAGTGGACTTCTTCCTTTCAGACCAAGGAGAAGCTCTTCCTGTGTCCGGAACCCTGGGGAGAAAGTGGTTGTTGCTGCTCGACCAATGCTCTTGGCGTGTGTCGTCCAGACGTCCACTGCTATTACCACAAAGAGGCTGTGCATCTGAAGATCGAGGGAGTAACTTTACATCCGATTCTCCTGGCAGCCAAACGAGGAGAACTGAGAGAGCTCTGGGATTTTGTCACCTTCTCCTCATTCCTTGCTTTATTCTGCTGAACTCTTCCTCGAGTTCCCCAACTCTAGACTTCATGTTCTCCATGTCTCCCTTCAGGACCTGGTTCTCTCTCACCACGGTCACACACATATCTCTCTGTACAATCTGGCCCGGCAATGGCCCTGCTGGTTCTGGCCTGCTTTCTGTATCAAAGACATGGAGACACCCAGCAAGAGCTGTTCTCAACTGCATCTGCTCAAAGTAGAGCACTTGAAGAACTGTCCTATGTGGTAACCGCTCGTTCTGGGAACCATGAGAACAGGCATCGATCGAGAGTTTCTGGTAGTCGATGATGTTGCAGAGTTCCTCCTTTTCTCTCTCAGGTAGCCAGGGGTGCGCCTGCAAATGGGGAAGGTATTTCATTTAACTTTTAGGAAAAGCTGGAAAGAAAGAGTTCACTTCATTCGACAGGATCAAGTTAAATCCCAACCTTGAAATATATGTCCAATGCTCGGTACAGCCCATCGTGGAACGGTCTAGAGGATTCTGGAAGAGCTTCAGCAAGCGAACGGATCTTCCCAGGTTTCAGATTCACATCAGAAAAGCAACTTCAGCAAGATAATCATCCATCAGTTTTCCAACTTTCCTCAATGGATCTAATGGAGGTGATGTTTTCCCCAAGTCCATAGATGCAGGAGAGAATGAGGGTATCCCTGATTCTGAAGACATGAAGTGATGAACAACACGGTCTATGCAATCAGTATCATAGAGAGTATCAGAACGCGAATAATTCGGAATAAGAAGACCAACTAGGGAAGCCAACTCCAGCTGCAACCCTATTCTCCTCTCTAGAGACTCCTTGCACCTCGGACTCACACCTACTATCAGCCCAACACGAAGCAGACCTAGCAAAAACCTGCAAAATGATTTCCCCTTCTTTTCTGGAAGAAGCTTTTCAATCGTCTCTATTAACACCTTTTGGTCAACAACAGCAGGAGTCAAGCTAAGACTAGCAACCGTTCTAGTTTTACTACTACTTTGTTCACTCTGCCATCGGCTTAAACCTGGTAGGTACTTCTTGGCATAATACATTATTGCACCAGCAAGATTCTCTGGCCTTGTACCTCGATTTCACATCACCTTGACAAGTCTCTCGAACATAGTCACGTTTAGATATGAAATGTCTTCAAACCACCAGTCTGATTAGTTACTCCTTATCTTTGCTCCAGTGTTTATTCCATTCCATAAGATGCTGCCACCTGGGCTCTGCAAGGTACCGTACATCATCATGGGACATCCGAACAAGCTAGGGTCTGTAGAAACCATCAGAGATATGGCATTCAAGCATTTGGTTATGATTCCGAGTTGCTCAGCATTCGGCAAAACTGGATTGCAACTTTGGAGAGCCAATATACAGTCTTTCCAGTTCTGAAGTACATTCTTGTGAAGGAAGTTCTCTGATTTTGATAGTAAGTTGCCTTCTCCAAGCTCTTCTGTCATTTGTAGGTAGTCAGCTGCACAGTAGATCATTACTATGTTTCTTGGTGACAGTTCCACTCGCATGCCGTAGCAAAATTTCACAGCGATCAAGAAAGGATCAGGACCTCCAGGGAATTCTTCGAGTTCTGTAATCAAGGTCTTCTTGTCAGGAGATGCCTCACAGATTTCAGATATCTTCCCACACTTAGATACTAGTGGAAACTGGAGAAATTGAAGAACATGTTAGAAACATCATGAGAGTACAGTTCAACAGCACAAACTTGTGAAATGGTTTCTTGCACTAAATCCATAAGTATTAATATATGAGGTCATGAGGAACAATAGCTAAATACTTGAGATTGCATCTTCAGATAGTGAACTCTGTAATTTGTATCATTGATTAATTTTAAAATTTACAATTGCACTTAGAACTGCTTTGCTTAAGACAAAAATGCAATTAACAAATGTAGCCACAATAGATGCTCAAGCTGGCAGAACCGAATGCAATCTATCTGTCTTGTAGACTGTCAGATTAGAGATTAGAATAGTAAGCCCTGCACACTTTCCTAATCACTAGGAAATTTCAAAGCTATCTTTAGAAGCAAGGTAGTTATACCTGCGGTATACTAGTAGCTAAACTAAATCATAAGGGTGGATGGCAATTATTGTCTCCATCACTACTGCTCGAAAACTGATTGAGATTAAGAAATCAAGCTGACCTATTCAAAGAAGTCCCCATTTAAAAAACAATTAGCAACCCTCAAATGTGTTCATCTCAAAGTATAAACAAGGAAGGTAAATACTTTCACGAACAAATGCAAAGCAAAAGAGAAAATCAGACAAGGGTCTTGTACATATATACTGATATGCACAAAAGAGCTGGCAAAATAAGTTTTTTTTTTTTAACTATTGAGCCTGGAGATTCTGCAGAAGGGGAAGTTTTTGACCCTTTACCTTATGAAGATTGAACTGAACTCCATCTACAGTAACAATTATATCGCTGGGCAACCCAGACTGGCAGAACCTGCAAGACATTGGAGAATCAAGTATATTATGCTCAAATGGTTCCAGCTAACTAGGCAACTACCGTTCTAAGCTGTGATGTTAAACTGCTGGCAGGTTGATGATCAAACAGCTAATTAATATTATTAACGATTAAACAGTGGACAATAAAGTTGCATCAGTTTAACAAGGAGAGGGCAGACTGCATAGGGGTGCAGACTGAGAAATTTACTAAAATTAGCACAGGCCTAGCGCGTAGTAAGTGAAATAATTACCCAAAAGCTGCAGATAAATAAATGCGTATCACAAATGAGATCACGAGAAAAAAAAGGTAGGTACCATTCATTGCCCTCTCTGCGAAAGGCAGTAACTTTCCCAGCAGATGCCATTGTAGCAAAAAGCTCTCCCCAAAAGCCAACAAAACCCTTCTTCTCCTATCTCAGTTGCAGTTGGGCAACTTAGGTTGACAAACAATAAACAAGGGGAGTAATTCTACCCAACTAGCATGGTTGATCCCATCCCCTGCCACAAAGATCAACTAAATGGGTTCCTTCTACATCATGGTGCCCGCTGCCAACAGGGAAAGCAAAGAGAAAAGGAACAAGAAGGGCAAGCGGAAAAAATGCAGGAAACACCATTGACGACAGATATAAGAAGCAGCAGCAGACGAAGGTCCAAGGGAGTAGAGAGGTGGGGGACGTGGAGGAATCGCCATTTGTGGACCTCTCTTTACAGCTAAGAGAAACACCAACTCGCCCTCACTCGAGTTTTTTTATTAATCAAATAGGAGGTAAAAATGCTTATTGCTTAGCTTTGGACCATGAAAAGAGCAGAATTTGCTTGGCTACAAGAAGACCAACCACCAAACAACCCACGAAAACAGAGCACCCGGCCACCCCCTGGCACATCGTAATAGAAAATTCGAAGGATGCCCACAAAAGGGAAAGGAACGGCTTGCAGAGAGAGGGAAGAAAGGTGATTTTTAATGAAAGACTGGAAAGGGAGTCAAAGTCAGAAAAGTCCGGGAAAGAAACTGATGGTGAAGTGAGATTAAAACGGAAACGGGTAAATCATAGGCAGAAGTCGCAGAACTCAGGGAGAGAGGAGAGAGAGAGAGAGAGAAGAGAGAAGACTGTCGAAGAGTAATCATAGGCCGCAGAACTCAGAAGGCCCAGAAACGGGTAAATCAAGGTTGTCTCATGGGGCGGTTCATTTTCATTCCTCGGGCCATGGGTCGGACTCTTTTGGGGATCCATGATTGAGCATTAATCTTTTGCTGGGCTTACGTTTCGGAGACTAATGATAAGTTGGTAAAAGCTAAAGAAAAGGTAGAAGAAGACATTGACACCAGAGTAACAAATTACAAATGCGATTTGTGCTCAAAGAAAAGAGTAATCATTTTGTTTCGTGGGTACTAGTTGTCTAAACTCTAAACTAATGGAAGAACTGTGCCACCAGTCTGTCAACAGGTAGAAGTACACTGCTAATTGATTGTGTTCATGTCTCGACAGTGGAGACCACTTTGCATGTTGCTTTTGATGATGTATACGGAAATTCTTGTGAGTTAAGGATTACTTGAACTTCACTCCTCAACTTAAAAAACGGCAGAAAATTGGGGAATTTTCAAGAATCCTATGGATTTAGCCTAAATTACACATTTGGTCACTCAAATTACATAAATCTTTCATATTTGCCACCCAAATTACTTTTCTTTCTTATTCGCCACTAACTTTACAAATTGTTTCACCGTTAGTCATTGACCGTTAGTCTCCGTCAGATTCCATTAACACCGTTAGTTTTTTGATGACGTGGCAAACATAACTGCTGACCGGACCGTTAACTTAATGACATGTCAATTTAAAAATAAAAAAAATTAATTAGCACTCCATCCTCATCCTCTCGCTCTGCACCTCGCGAATCGCTTCCGTCGTGGGCTTCGTCGCTTTGACCAGTCGACGATCTCCCCATCGGTTTCCCCCAAGCCGCAGCGTCCTCGTATGCGAGCAATCTATTCTAGCCGTCTTCGCCGATCCAGTCTCCGTTCCCGTCGTCGGCTCAATCACCGCCGATGAATCCCTGCCTATGCCTTGAGGATGAAGACCAAGAGGCATTCGCTTTGAGCTCCGTCCCAAACCCTCACTGGTCCAAAGACTTCCTACGGCCAGAAACTCCGCAGCGAGAAGATGTACCGCTAGGGTCACAAGCACAACCTCGATTACATATAAATTCCACCAAAAACACATACCTGCAGGCGGAAGTCGATCTCTCTTCTTCCAATGATGATTTCTCCAATTATTCACTCGAATAAGAGGAGAGGACCCTCGATTTGAAGCTGAAGCTGCTCACTTCCCTCCCCAAAAGCGTCATCGCTGGATCTCCTGCTGCGGCTGGGAGCTCCAGCCTCGGACTTGGCGGCGGATCTGGTTCTGTAATTTCGCCTGCACGGAGATGCAACAGCACCAATGGCACCGTTTTGCTTGCTTCGACCTCCACGACAACTGCCTCGATGGGACCATTTCACCGATCACCAACTGCTCCAACCTCAAGCTCCTCTACCTCGCCGGGAACGACTTCACCGGCGAGATCCATCCGTCGATCTCCTCCCTCCATCGACTCCTCCGTTTAGGCTTATCGGACAACAACCTCGGCGGTTTAATCCCTTCGAAAATTGTAAATATGACCAAACTGTTGACTCTTTGGCTCCAGAACAACGAGCTCACCGGACGAAATTCCAAACATCTCCGGTTCCATCCCCGGATTAAAAGAGCTGAATCTGTCCAACCACAAGCTGTATGGAAGAGTCCCCGATGGGTTGGCAAAGAATTTCGGCCGACAAGGCTTCTTCGGGAACGAAGGGCTTTGCGGATTCGGTCCTTCGCTGAGTTCGCTCCCCCTGTGTTTATTTACAGGTGTTAATGGAGTTCTTAAATTTAATTCCTTCCACATGGGAGTGAGAAGATGAAAATGGGTGCTAATTTATTTTTTTATTTTTTTATTTTTAAATTGACACGTCATTAAGTTAACAGTCCAATCAGCAGTTCTGTTTGTCACGTCATCAAAAAACTGAAGGTGTTAACAGAGCCTGACGGAGACTAACGGTCGGTGACTAACGGTGAAACGATTTGTAAAGTTAGTGGCGAATAAGAAAGGAAAGTAATTTGGGTGGCAAACATGAAAGATTTGTGTAATTTGAGTGACCAAACGTGTAATTTAGCCTATGGATTTATATTGAATTGCACAACCCTCCTGCACACTGGAAGTGGGAAGAGGGTGTAAATCTCTACGAAAGAAGGGTATGGGGGCAAATGTAGACCCCCTAAACTCGACAAGGAGTGTAGAGTTGTGCAAGCAGGGAGAAACGAAAGTCTAAATGTCCAATGTGGAACAAGACCAAAAGATCCAGAAGACAATCGCGTCGGAAGAAGCATTTCTCCATGGGAGAACAATGAACAAGAGATGCGAGGAGGAAGAGACAATCGCCACCAAAGGAAACAGTCACCTGAAAGACGAGATTGATGGAGAAGGTAATGTCCAACAACGTAGCAATAGGCACGACGCAGTAGCTGCTAAAACAGGAAGTTTACAATCAGAGAATCTTCGATCGAATCAACAGCCAAGGCACTCGCACAACCTCAAGCACTATATAAAGAAGAAATCACAAGGAAATCAGGAAGCACTATAATGCAAACAATATAAAGAAGTTAACCTTCATACAGAGTCAACAAATTCCTTCATACAAAACATTCCTGAAGAAGCAGAATACAGAGAGGAATTATATTGGCAAGCAAAGAGCAAACATTCCATCTGAACAACTCAACCAACTTGTACATCTCCTCCCTTCTTTTACCTAGCAACAGCCCAAAAGCTCGAAAGCTCCACTTACAAGTTTATGGCATTAACAGAACAGCAGCACATTCATAACTATGTCCAGAACTAACGGCCTCCCGTACGAACGAAACGTATTTCTTACTACACTGGACTCTTGCTGATTGCTAGGCAAGACCAAAAGGAAACCCCAGAATGGGGCAAAAGAACAAAAAAATAAAACCATAAGCCTATATGAGGGAGGGATCAAACTATAAAGTCGGACTTTCTCAAAAGGATTTCATTACAATGAATTGTGGCACTTCCTCAGAAGAGTATAGTTCAAACATTCTCTTACGTATTTCTTCAGCTCACTGTGGGTTTCGCTATAACCTTCTTAATAGCTTCGGCATATGTCCTGTGCTGATAGGTGAGAGTCGACTCCAGCAAGTCCCACAGCGATGTCTTTGGGTTCCAACCTGAGACAAGAAACCGTCGTTTTGATAAAATCACAAGAAAAGGGAAACTCAAAATACAATAAGACTCCAGCTCTTATATTATATGAATCTTCTAATGTGTTTTCACAAATTAGTTCCAGGGACCAGTCGCCAAATTGGTTTGGGGTAATAACAATTTTCTTTTTCTACTAAGAAATATGATTAGCCAAGAGGAATTGTAAATGTGAGCAAATGTAAAGTAATGTCATTAAAGAAGTTTCAAGTAAAACAAAGCAAGAAGTAGTACCGAGTTGCCTATTGATTATGGTCATGTCTGGGATTCTCTTGTCACTATCGTCATATCCCTCTCCATAGAATTCCTTCGAGCTGATATCCATTGTTGGTGACTGCAAAGCAGCATCACCACTAACCTTGGCATAGATCTGTGGATAAACAATTGTATTAGACTATTAGCTCTACATTTCGAAAGAATAGAACAAACTATCAACCAAGTTCAGAGAAAAACTCCCCCACCTCTGACATCATTTCAGCAAGCTGCCTAACAGTTACTTCATTGTTAGGATTGCCCACGTTGAATATGTGGCCATTAGCCCTGGCAGGATTTTCCTGTATGAAATAACATATGAACAGAATATTGAGCACTTTGCCATGTTATTTTTTTGGTGGGGGGAGATGTGGGAAGAAAGAAAGGGAATCATCATGACATACAATCATAAGCATAACTGCTTCGATGGCATCTTTGATGTAGATGAATGTCCTCTGAGATTGGCCACCATCTACAAGCTTAAGTGGTTCACGTCGTAGGAGAGCCTGAAAGTAAATGTAAAATTAAACCCACACAATCAAGAACCTTGCTAAACGGTGAGAGCAAAGCTATTGCCACAGGCACTACTAATTCCCAGAGTAGGCCAAGCTAGAAACTTACATTGCTAAAGCATGCCAAAACCCTGGGTACACCCTCACTCGGGCCATCAATGCCAGGAATGAAATCCATCCTGGGGCCAATCCAGTTGAATGGCCTCACAATAGTGAACTCGAGGCCATTCTCAGCACCCTCAGCTGTGATATAGAAGGAAAGAAAAAATTAGAAAAGAAAATGCTTTGAAGAATTATAAATGGCCAGATAAACAATAAGCGATTATGCTTACCATATATCAGCCTTTCAATCAACTGCTTGGCACATGCATAAGACCATCTTTGCTTCTCAATTGAGCCAAAGATGCAAGGCGATTCATCTTCTTTTAGGATATAGTAGGCAGGATCCTAACATAGTGGGAAAAGGGTAAAAGAGATCAGTTCTAGCAAGCAAGTCAATGAAATTGCACAGAATAGATAATGAAGCAAGTAACACACAGGGCCAAATAATTCACTGCGACTACCAGTGCACAGAAAAAAATGAAGAGCAGCTAGAATATGACATAAGAAAACTGGGAGTAATGTTCTTCGACACACACGATCAGACGAGCTAACTACTACAATTATCTACCCCAGACACTAAGGGAGTCATTTAGCCTCCGATAAAGACAGTTGTATCCGGAATCCGGATAAACAAAGAATGTACACCAATCCAGCAAGCATGACAAATAATACTGTCCTTAAGCTACAAGTATGACCACCATAGGGTACAGAGCATTCTTTGGAATTGGATTGACATTGGCAGTACAAGAAGCAGCCAAGCACAACAAATTCAGTGAATTATGTACAGAGATAAAGGAAGACAAAAAATGAGAAGGACAATGAATCCAGATTACAAGGTAGAAACAACCCAACAGATCCCCCACATTTAGTAATCACCTACTCACATTCTACACACATAACACTAGTCAATCCCATGTTGGTTAAGGAGAGGCTAATTAGATCGAGAGGGCATACAGTCGGTGCTCCAAACAAGATTCCAGATTGGTGACACAATCCAAAATATAAAATTAGCATATATGCCTTCCAAGCCAAAAGTGCCTAAACAACACGTGACCGTAAAGCAAGAAATCTAAAGATGAAAACGCCATTGATAAATGTCGGCAACTAATCAAGAGGATAACAGTTGTGAAAAGGGGGAGTGAAATAAAGTGAGAGGAAAGCGAAGGCTTACCTCACGAAGAGGACTGTCTTTGGGAAGAAAGCTCCCAATGGTTTTACCATACACTTCACAAGTCGAGAAGTGAATGAGACGCTTGTTGTTCTCAGAGCAGTACTTCACCTAAATTGACAAAAAAAACTCGGCTACATCAACTTCCAACCACTATATCTTTACCAAAACTGTCAATTCAGGCTGATCTTATGAAGAAACGACTACTGTAACTAAATTTCCCTACAGAGAATGCATGTTCGATTCTCGAAGAAGTTCGAATCCGGATTCAACTTACCACAGGGAGCGCATCGATGAAATTGCTGTAGATCGTGTCCAACGGACGAGTGTTGTAATCAGCCGGGGTACAGATCGCCGCCAGATTTATGACCTGCACCGCGCCGGGGAAACAATTCCGCCGCTTCATTAGCAGGCAGCAAGCAAACAAAGCGAAACAGAGAAGGAAAACCTAAACGCATGCATTTCGGGAACAGAGCTTGAATGAAACGAGAAGAGTGCAATAGAAAATGGCGAAACGATTCTTACCAGATCTGACATCTTGATGAGGCCTTCAAGGCGAGAGTCGTGCTTGATGTTGATGCGGTGGAACTGAATCCGCTCAGTGAAGGACGCGTTATCTCCTTCCAGGAGGTGCTTGATCTTGTCGTTGTACACATCCAGAGCCAAGATCTTGTGCGGCGTCTCCGCCAGGACCTTCTCGCACAGGTGCGAGCCAATGAAGCCTCCGGCGCCGATCATGCATATCTGCATCGGCTTGATTGGCTTCCCGTCCAGATCCACCCTAGCCGAAGCTGCCGCCATTGTTGCAATAAAAGGCGAGCAAGAAGTAACAGAAACGCGGTAATGCAAGAACTCACTCCTCTCCCTTGCAGCAGAAACTGAGAGGTGAAGTTCAGAGAGAGACAGACAATCGGTGTTAGATTGGGGAAGAATGTGAGGTTTGTATGGTTATATATTTTCCAGAGGAGGAAGAAAGGATTGGAAAGGAGAAAGAAAGAGATGGGAATGGGGGATTATGTGCGGGGCGAGGCGAGGCGACTGAGCTGTGACCTTTGAGGCCTGTGGTCATTTGCAGGCTTTTCCCCACTCGCATACGCGTTGTGTTCTGAAACACGCGCTCATGTGGCCCACCACGACCACGTGGATCCATGTTACTGAATGTGTGTGTTAGTTTTAGCTCTTAACCTCTGCCATTAAGAAAAGGAGCGTACAATGATTAGTAATGGAATCCATATCACTAGTTAGGGCTGTCAACCGGTCGGTTTCGGTTTAACCGAAAACCCGGTTATCGGTTAAACCGAACCACCCCCTAGAGCTGCCGACCACCGACCGTGAGAGTGACACGGTTAGCCGGTCAACCGACCGGTCGGTTTCGATTTAATGCTCGGTTAGCCGGCCAACCGAAAAATACCTTTCCTAAAAAAAAAAAATTTAAAAGAAATAAAAAATCTGGACCACTTACTCACTTCTCGATTCTTCTTCTTCCTTTCTTCTCCTTTCTTCTCAATTCCTCTTCTTCCTTTCAAGAGAGAAACCCTTGCTGCCCAGAGCTTCCCTTCCCAGATCCCAAGTCCCCACCCCAAAACCCACAAAAACCCATCCCTAGAACCCTCCCTTTCGCCTCCAGTTCCATCTCCTTATCCACATCCCATCAACAATCTTCCCACCACCGAACCACCCTCACCACCCCCGCCAAGCTCAAATCCCTAATCAGCAAACTCTCCGTCTTCGAGCGAGCCCTCATCGGAGCCGGCGGGGGCGGACTCGCCGGCGCCTTCACCTACTTCTGCCTCCTCCCTCTCGACGCCGTTAAGACCAAGCTCCAGACCAAGGGAGCCTCCCAGATCTACGCCGGAACCCTCGACGCCGTCGTCAAGACCTTCCACGAGAAGGGCATCCTAGGGTTCTACCGCGGCGCCTCCCCCATTTTCGTTCTCAACTCCCCTGTTTTGACCGTATCCTAGAGTCTCATCAAAGTGGAAGAAGAAAAAAAGATCGGAGAGAAAGAAGAAGAAAAATCCCCAACGGAAAACAGTCTACCAATCAACAACAAAACCCAGTACGAAGACCTGATGCCGGTGATGGCGGAGAAGCTCGACGTGGAGGGTTTCGTAAAGGAGCTCTGCGGAGGGTTTCAGTTACTCTGCGACTCCGAGAAAGGGCTCATCACGGCGGAGAGCCTGCGGGCGAATTCGGAGCTTGTGGGGATGGAAGCGATGACGGAGCAAGACGCGGAAGCCATGGCGAGAGAAGGAGATCTGAACGGCGGCGGCAACGGATGTAGATCTGCTTCTTCTTCTTCCCTATTTGGGGTTTTTTTTACTTAAGATTTGGGAATGAGAATGAATCTGGACATATTTTGGGGAAGGTGAATGTGGGTCTCGGTTGGCCCGGTTAGTCGGATAACCGCGGTTAATTACCATCGGTTACTCGGTCAACCGACCCCTTCCTTTTCCCATCCGACCACCGACCGTCAAAGTAACCGGTCGGTTTTCGGTTAGATGGTAACCGGCGGTTTTCGGTTAAAACCAGCGGTTACCCGCTAACCGCAAACCGAAATGCCAGCCCTATCACTAGTAACATAATACGCTGACGTTTTCACTGGTTGTTAGTTGTTACCCGATGGTCTTTTGGTCAAAAACTCAAAATCAACTATTTTGAGCAAGCAAAAATTGAAGATGGATTTTGTATGATGAATTTCATTTTGAAGGGTTGGTGGATTTTGTATGTTGTATTGGGATACGTAATTTAATGTTTTTTACTCAGTTATTAAGTTTCATCTCGGTGATAATCTACTCTCTAACAAATATAATACCACAAAGTTGGCATCGTCCAAACAATTGAGTTGGATTATTGTTACTATCGATATCTATATATCTTGAGTCATTACCCTCTCTAAACTATACCCCATTTTGTGGCTAGCAAACCTTTTAGAGATTTTTCCAATAATAGCACCCTAAAAAAAATTACAAAACTAGCACACATATGAAAAAATTGACAGAAATAACACCTATTTTTATGGAACGCATCATGGAGGTGCGGTCTCCAGGCCGAAACGCACGCCAGCGCAGCGATCCAGAGCAGCTGCGGAACGGTCTTCAAGACCGTCAGATGGAGATGCGATCTGACGGTGGACCGCCTGCCAGCGGAGCGATCCGCGCCAAGGATCCCAGAACGCACGCCCGAGATGCGGTCAAGCCTAGGGAAGTGCAAACCGCATTGGGAGGCAGCGGTTTCCCTTAGTGCAAAATTACCGGACCGCCCCCTGGGGGTGCGGTCTGATGGGTATAAATACCCTCCCTCCCCCTCTCATTTCTTCACACCACAACCCATTCTTCCTTCTCTCTCTACAATTTATCTCTCTAAACCCTCCCCTCCCAAAAGCCTAGGAAATAGTGGTCTGTTGGTTGCGGCTAAGTCCGATCTGCCATCAGAAAACATTTCTTAGGTTTTTTCCTCAAAACCCTCCGAGTTGAGCCGAAGCTCTGTCCGAATTACTCCGAAAAAATGGCCGATTGGTGGCAAGGAGAAGGAGTTTATGTTGATGAATTTCAAGCGGTATGTACTCATTATTCTGGTTTAATTTTTGTTGTTGTTATAAGTTTTTTAATTAATCTATGTACTAACCTCATTGTTATTTTCTCGTAGGTTGGGGAGGACGTCGATATATACAACAACGGTATTATCTCGAGCAAGGACCGGTGGATCCAACCGACTTGTACGACCAACCCAACCATCGGTCAAGGGATGTTTGGAACGATCACCCGGTACATACAATTCTTCACCATTTGTCCTTCTTTTATTTTGTTAATGTGCCTAGTGTAATATAAAATAAATTTATGTTTATTTTTTAATCGTGTTGGTTGTTTTCAATAATTTAATCGAATACATAGCGCCACTTACTTCGACTCTTTATAAAGAGATGCACGTCTAAGGAAATGAGGTTTTAAGCGATTATTATATCCTCCCATTACCTGGGAAAATCGGGTATTAAGAGATCCTCGGATCCCCCCTTTTTCTGTCAAAAAGACTGCGTTTCTAAGAAGATGTATACCTCTTCTAAGAGTCTAACGAGTGTTGCTTTGTATTCGATTAAATTATTTAAAACAACTAATACGATTAAATTATTTACCAAACATTTGAATATGTATGTTTCTACTTAAATTATTATTCATTAACAATGTTATTTATGTTAATTAATTTAGTATGTTTGTTTTACGATAATATGTATGTACCTCTTCAAATTATTATTCATTGACAATGTTATTTATGTTAATTAATTTAGTATGTTTGTTTTACGATAATATGTATGTACCTCTTTAAATTATTATTCATTGACAATGTACTTGCCGGTAAGGAATGTACCATCCACAGTAATCACAGGGATACAAAAGCCAAAACCATCAATAGAAGGCTTGAATGCCAAAACAGTCTGCGAAAATGGCGTTCGTTACCTGCCTCTGGGGGTTGTATCTCTTCATCTTGGTATCGAGGGGAGAACACGGTCCCAGGGTTAGACGCCTCCAATGCCAGTATTAACCTGGGAAGGAATGCATATGATTCTTCCCAATCACCAAAGACGGCGACCAGAGCTTTCTGCTTTCCATGCCACGCCTTCTTATAGTTAATCCTATAACCATAACGACTTGCAATGTCAGCAATTATGACTTTCACCTTCAGATCCGGTTCGGCCTCAATCAGATGCTTGACAGCCGCAGCTACCACCCTGGATTTCAACTGTCGATGGCATTGGGAAGTTATGGATGACACACATGTGTGTGTGTTGACCGCACGGGATATGACCCAGTTGCCGTGTCTCTTGCTGTTGATGGCCCGAATCCTAACATTGCACCCCTCGTGATGATTACGGCATCTGACTATGAGCCTTTTGGTGTTGGAATGAGTTGTGTGCCATTCAAAATGCCGAGTCATTGCTTCAGTCTCAAGGGCGTGCCGCACCTCCTTCTTCGAGCCAAATTGTTGGCCCTTCGTAAACCCAGTGAGTGGGCCCCATATTGGGACCTCTGGCGGCTCCATGTCGCTGTCGACCATCCAATTGTCGTCTGGAATGTGAGTGTAGTAGGGGACTGGTACACGGTCAGGAGCCACATCATGATCATTATCTGAATCTGAATCTGGTGCTGAATCATCAGCACCTTCAAGAGGGTCTGAGCTGTCTGCACTGACGTTGTTCTCTCCTTCTTCATCAGAGGGGTCGCTGACTGGTGCTGGTGTGGCAGCATCCATCTGATCCTGCTCATGAAAGGCACCTTCATCAGCTCCATAATGGTAGTCGTGAAAACTACCGCTGCCTGAATGGAAGTTGTACTGGGCTTGGTTGGGGACGTCCGGTTGAACTTCTTCTTCATATGACAAGAAAGATTGATGATGGCCTGCACCTTGCCCTCCATCTTGGTACTGAAAATAAGAATGAGGATCATGGTAACTTTGGTAGGGATGATCGTCATATAATTCACCTCCACCATGGATACCAGATGTTTGACCGTGTCCAGAATGACCTCCAACACCAACGGCTGGCTCGGTGTAAACGAACATCTCGGCTTTGGCCAATTTGTTGGACCTCAAGAATTCGAGCATGGAATCTACGTCATCTTGAGTGGTTATGGTATATTCCTCATGCCACAATGACCCAGTTGCTCTGTTTGGGTATCGGTACACCATACGATCTACCCTCCTCGTGCCATCCATGCAAGTAACGTCAGTGCATATTTGATGGAGGTCTTCAAGCTTCGGTCTGGTACCGACCGTTATTTTCTGAAAATTGCCACCGACGTAGGTGGCCCCCTTTCCGGTCTCTTCCGTGTAACCATTCCACCGTAAGCCAAGCGTTAACTGACGGAATGCCATCTGCACACAAACAAACCGTAGTTTAGTTAATATCATAAAAATCACAAATCACAAATAACAATAAAAAGTAACACAAAATAAAGTTACGAGTTAATGTTAATGGCATAAAAAGTAACACAAAATAAAGTTACGAGTTAATGTTAATGGCATAAAAAGTAACACAAAATAAACTTACGAGTTAATGTTAATGGCATAAAAAGTAACACAAAATAAAGTTACGAGTTAATGTTAATGGTATAAAAAGTAACACAAAATAAAGTTACGAGTTAATGTTAATGGCATAAAAAGTAACACAAAATAAACTTACGAGTTAATCTTAATTAGGGGTGGGAATCGGTCGGTAAACGGTAAATTGGTTACCGAATTTACCGGTTTCGGTATACCGACACTGGCAAAACCGTTTACCGTTTACCGATACCGATTTGCAACCGGTTTACCGATTACCGAATTACCGGTAAACGGTTGCAAACCGGTTTACCGAATTACCGCAATGGCGATGTAGGGGCGGGTTTTCGGTTCGGTTTACCGAAATTTACCGAAACCGAATTTCTATTAGTGGGAAATATGTTGTGATATTTTGATTTTTCTTAGTTTTTTCCTTCATTTTGTGAGCTGGAAGGAACGGCCGTCGTCAGCAGAAGGAACGGCCGGCGAAAGCAGAAGGAACGGCCGTCGTCACTCGTCAGCAGAAGGAACGGCCGTCGTCAGCAGAAGGAACGAACGTCGTCAGCGAGGGAAGCGGGATGGATAGTCGTCGCCGTCGTGGCCCGTGGGAATCGCTGCGCTGCTCGTCGCCGTCGTCAGCAGAAGGAACGGCCGGCGAATACGAGAAGAAGATAGAGGCGGCTCTCTGGTGGTCTCTCAGTCTCTGCGCGAACGAAGAAGAGAAGAGAAGGGCGGGCTGGCGGCTAGGTTTTAGGAATTAGGGTATAGATTTGGGGGAAAAATGAAACGACGCCGTTTTGGGTTCGGTAAATACCGATACCGGATTCGGTAAACCGATACACCCCAGCTCACGCTCGATCGCCGATATCGTCGGTAAACGGTTTACCGTTTACCGTCGGTAAACGGTTCGGTAAAACGGTAAACCGTTTACCGAAAAACCGAATCCCACCCCTAATCTTAATGGCATAAAAAGTAACACAAAATAAACTTACGAGTTAATCTTAATCGCAAACACACTAAATAAATATAGATATACAACAGAAAAATGAAAGAGAGAATGAGAGGTGTGAAGAGTAGAGGTTTTCCGGCAAGTCTTATATAGGGGAAAAAATGATGAAAACCGCACCTCTAGGGTGCGGTTTTAGTCTACCATGCAGGCCTACGTCAATAATTCTCTGCATGGCTGTGTCGTTGTGTCGGAAAATTATTGACACGTAGACCGCACTTGGGGGGTGCGGTCTACATGGCCAAACCACACCTTAGCAATGCGGTTTGTTCTTGGAGGAATAAACCG